CGAAACCCTCAGCTTCTTGATAAGATAAAGCGATCTCTCTTGTCAATGATCCCGTGGAGCATTCTGTATATTTCCCATGCCAAGAGTGTTTACAATCAACGCAAAATGCAAATTTACAGTCTTGACAAATGGCCATTAAACTGTCGGCATCGTGAGAAATTAATGCCTGGCACGAACTTCTCGGACAAATCAATGTGTTAGGATTTGATTCAAGAATTTTTTGACGTCTAAGTTTAGAAAGACGTTCAAACAAATCCGAGCCTACCAAACTTTTGACTTCTTGATCAGATAACTCTGGTGGTTGACTTTGTTTTGTTCTAGCACAACCTGGTTCTGGGCAAGCAACATGGTTCACGTAGCCTTGTTCAATACATGCACAAAAGTATTCTTTTAGACAATCTGTACAAAACACATGACCACATTCCAGGAGCTGTGTACAGTTGCTTCCGCGTTTTATATTACGACAGATTTCGCACGTAAAGGTTTGATTTTCAAATATTTTCTTAGTTGCCGTTTCATCAAATTGTAGAAACAAATCTTTTAAGAAGTACTGATCTTCATTAAAAACAAGTGGCGTCTTCATTCCAAATAGAATCTCGATGTCTTGATTAAGTTGATCAATAGCCATAAATAATACTGGACCCGAATCCTTGCACCATTGATTTCGTAGCATTCTAGTGGTTTTCTTTAGAACAACTTGCGGCAGCCAGTTCGACCATAACCTGAACTCAGGGTGTGCTTTTGCAGGATAATCTGTAGGTAATTCAAACTCTAGTGTTATAGGCAAAAAGTGCGAGATAGTATAAATTTCGTTGTTGGTGTTTTGTTCATTATTATTATTTTTTGCGTCACTGGCAGAATTAGTTTCTTGCTTGCTATAGTTTTTAGATTTATGAAACAGAGCGGTAGCAGGTTCTAATGGTATTACTGTAATCTGGTAAGTACCTTTGACTCTTTTAGTCATTAAATCATAAGAGATTGATATTTCGGGATAGATTGATGTCAAAGTTTCCAGCTCTTCTACCTGCTCTTCGGGCACATTCATTGCACTCATATCAGCTAAAGAGAGCTCCATTAGGAAAATATGATACTTTTCACATACAAAAATATGTTGAAACGAGCAAATGCATTAAATATCAAAAACCAAGGCTTCTTTCAAAGGGCCATGATTCATTTCCTATGAAAAATTATAGTAAAATGTATCAAGAAATGCCTCCCATAAAATTGGGAGTTTCTACGACTGTTAGTGTCAAGATAACAGATATGTATGGGACGGTCAATAAGAATAATAAATTGAAAGGCTAGCTGGAAAAAAATAGGTATATGTTATTTTACAATATCTAATACTAATATTTTAATGATTGATTTATGAGCATCCTGGTTTCGAGTTTTATCCTATCAATCCCATTTTTGCCACCTAGGCGTTCAACAGCATTTTGCCTGGCCTCGATAACACTTTCTTGACTCCAGAACCTACCATCCTGGTCCATTCTATTTTGCCAGTAACTCAAAAACGAGTTTCTCAAGTATTCATCTTGATGAATGCTCAATTTCATAATTGAGTTACCTCTTGCTCTTAGTAAAATTTCTTTTAAATTGTCAGATAATTTGGCCACTCTTGAACCACGGTGGAAATCATCAAGAGGTTTAGTGAAAAAGAGCCCACGCATAGTGACATATAAAATACCAGCAAACACAATATTGGCTAATAATAATATCACGCCACGTTCAAGTCTCATTCGCCAATGAAACCATACAATACTATTGATGCTCATGTTGAGTGCACTTTTATCCTCATAGCTAAAGACTCTTGCAATATCTATAATAGCCAAAGCAAGATGAGTAAATGTAGCCCATGACCTCCACTGAATCGCCCCAGGAGACACAGCACTAGATGTACTCATTCCCAAAACAAACCAGTTGATCAGGTAAGGAGCCAAAATCTTGGGAAGAGCATATAATAAAAAGGTTTGAGGGACCATTGATTGACAAAAAATACAGTTTTGAAAGGTATCAGTACCATACTTTATATACAATAGCTTACCAGCACCACTACTGAGTAGATTTATCATTCTTTCGTTGCCAGTATCACTAAATCCTTGTGAAGTGGAGGACCCTTCGTATTTAAGCAATCGCTGCTTTATTACACTGACCTCAGTTTGTAGACGAGACCCAGTAACTTTGAACACATTTAGCTCTTGTGTAAATAAAGGATACACAACTTGAAGCACTGATGTTGCTATTAGTGCAATAAGAGCTAGGTAGCCCAAATAGGATATTTCATAATGTGTTCTCTCTTTTTGAGTTTTATTAGTACGGCGAATGAACGCTATTATTTTAGAGGAATTCAGGTATATTAGAGGTACTGCAATAGGAACGATTGATCCTTTTAAACTTTGAAGAATCAGAGGAATCGCTCTAAGCGCTTCCATAGTTATATGTGTTTTGAATTTCTGGGTAATGAAATCCAGATGAGTTTGTTAATTTTATGAGTGCCATAGATATTTTGAATATACCTGGATGTGCTGTAGGTATTTCTGTGGGTTAGGGTATGTCACCTAATCCGGAAAATCATATCAAACAATATTCATGAACCGATCGAGTATCAGCATGGCCTGCCCTTCTTTTTCACTTTGTGTGTGGCGTTCCTGTTATTACCTCCATAAATTCTGTTATTGTTAGTGTATAAGGTGGTGACTCAATTAACGTTAGACTTACCTCCTTGTAAGCTCCCCGAGAAGATACACTCTGTCATTCTAGGGATAATAGTTGCACAACGTGAAATATAACTAGCTGGTAGCAAAAGTATCTATTTTCAATTTATTTATTTAAAACACGATTATTAGTGATTACAGAGCTTAAAAACTTTACTCTTCGCCGGCGCACATTCTTCGAGGGGACAACCAGAAACGTGCTATAAAATCGGGCAATCCAGGGTCATGCTGGCATAGCCAATGCTTCAGATGCTTTTATCATCTGCCGGGAAACTTTTCATGTCTAGATCATCGGCGGAACTATTATGAGAATTCTCTTTGAATGCGAATATGTTCAACATTTTTGTCTTTTGATTCATACAATTAGCGAGTAGTTTTCTATATAAGTTCTTCAGGAACACAACTGTTCAGCTGTACATAGCGCTTCCTTGTTAACTAATCCTTGAACATTTTTAATATTTTCCAGCCTCAACAAAGACCTCATCCATATTTTGACGATATTCAGTTTTTTTGAACCAAAAGGTTCATTTTAGTGATTCTAATTCTAAAGTAAAAGCGGCACTCTGTGTTTGCTTTTTTATCAAAAGCAAATTATTGCCAGCATATTCGAATCTCAACCCGCTATATATCCAAGAACTCTGAATTGTCATAGGGGGTTCAGGTGAGACTATCAAGCTTCGGAAACCGGTTCTTCCAAGTTGGAGTTTCTTGAGCAGAAAGAAATTTTTTTGAATTTTTTGGTTTTGACACCTTTACTTTTGGGAAAATCCATTTTTGTTACAATCGGCCATGAAAATAATGTGTTTGTTTTTTGAAGAACTTTTTTGGCTCCTTATTTCAATGAGGCTGAATATACCTAAATGATGTTTCCCCGACTGTGAGTTTTCTAATATATTTTCCATGAAAAATATGATAACGACTTAGCAAAAAGCACCCATGATGGGAGTCGAACCCACAATCTTCAGATTAGAAGTCTAACGCCTTAACCATTGGGCTACACGGGCAGAAGCTTCCTTGCCAGGGGTCGAACCTGGAATCTTTCGGTAGTGACTATTAACACACGCTGAACGTACGCTTCTGAGACAGAAATCGTAGCCGAACGCCTTGCCATTGGGCCACAAGGAATAAGCTTTCTCTTTTTCGGATCATGAATATCCAACGTTACAATCAAGTATTGAAGGACTACTTGTAACTAGAAGTTACATTTTTGGGCTTATTTTCCTATAAAAATTTATTCTAACCCATAAAACTTTGAGTCTTAGTCCTCTCTCTCTTGAATTTTAAAGCCGTGGTCATTGCTTGTTTTTTTTCCCTTGATTTAGTCCTGAAAATTAATTGTTGGAGGTAGAGGGCATACTCTATTGTAGAAGAATTGGTCAGTTGTGTTATTTCTAGTAGTGATCAATTTTCATTTACTCTTTTAGATATACTTAAAAATAATAAAAGAAATTGAAAGCATCGCAAAGAGTAAATGTAAATAACGGATATATCGTATTGATTTAAAGGAAAATTCCGAAATTCTAAGATTTTTAAAAATGGTGGCCAAAATATAAGAAAAGCAAATTTGGTTAGGCGTATTTCTAATTATATAGCTTATTATTGTGCTATAAAAAGTTGTTTTGAATAACAATATAAAATCCTTGCTAATATAAAGCAGTGATTTATTAGAACTCTAAGTTAAATTGAGTTTATTTCTGTGCCTTTATAAAAAAAATGATGAGTAGTTACTCATCAGCAATAGAAATGAAATTCATGATATAGTTAACAGTTTTTACCTAAAACAGAAAAAAGCGCCAGTGGTTTAGTGGTAAAATTCACCGTTGCCATCGGTGAGCCCCCGGTTCGATTCCGGGCTGGCGCAGCTTACATTTCTTCCGAAATAGTTTAGTGGCTAGAATTTGCGCCTGTCAGATAAATATCAGCTCGCGTGGGACCGGGGTTCAATTCCCCGTTTCGGAGATAATTTTTCTTCTTCTAAAAAAACGGATTACTACTCTTTTTATCTGTAACTAGTCGGATTTTTTTTTCAGTATATATATATATCAGTACTTGAAATCAGCTTCGAAGTTAATCCAAGAAAATCCCCAAATGAATGACTCCTAAGAACTAAATCATTTGTTAAACCCGTGTTTTTAAGCCACGGCTCGATTGGATCTTTTCTCAATCACTTGATCTCTTGTTGTCTTGGGAAAACCTATTTCAATTCTCCTCATTGATGAATTTACACTTGGGTCACTTTTTTGTTTGTATATGTAACTATCGTTCTCATCAACTAATCAATAATCTGCGGTTTTAGCTCAGTTGGGAGAGCGTCAGACTGAAGTTTAAACTTCGGTCCAGTATATCTGAAGGTCCAGTGTTCGATCCACTGAAACCGCATTAAAGTTTTTTGGATTTGATTTTTTATCATTCGAATACAATGGAGAAAACGCTGTGTTGAATATGAATATCTCCCCCAGCTCAAGACGATTGCTTTTGAAACGGTTCTGTCTGGATAATTGGAATATACTCATTATAAATATTTTTTTATTGAGGGGGGGAGGGATTTCTAGCTTGATCGTGTTATATAGCAAAGAGATAGTTTTTTATTTGGTATTATTAACTATATTTTAAAATATTTTTATTAAAAAGACTATATAGTTGAGTGACTAGAATATATCTTTTTAGATATCGGAAATATCATCTTCCTCCATACTATCATCATCATCGCTATCATCCCAGCTATCGCCACTGTTATCTTCTTCATCATCATCAACGGTGGCAGATATTTCATGGTTAGGCAAAACTTCGAGACCCTTTTCACCCTTGACAACCTTGACGGTTTCCTTGTCCAAAACTTGTCCCTTGAGAATGAGTACGGCAAGCTTGTTGAGAACTTCTGCTTGGATAAGACGGTTGAGTGGACGAGCACCCAAGTCACGCGAGTAACCATGTTCACACAGGTAGTCGAGCGCATCTTCCGAGATATCTAGTTCTAAGTTACGGTCGGTGTCGGCAAAACGTTTCACGATTTCACGGATACGAATTTGGATGATCTGTCTGATATTCTTCTTGGAGAGACGGTTAAAAATCACCATGGATGAGATACGGTTGAGGAATTCGGGTCTAAAGTGGGACTTTACTGATTCCATAACTAAATCGCGAGTAACGGGATCAACCTTGGTATGAGTGGAGCGGTTAATAAACTCGGCACCAAGGTTGGATGTCATAATGAAGATACAATTGGCGCAGTTGACTAATTTACCTTGGCTGCTAGTAACACGACCATCATCCAAAATTTGTAAGAGAATAGTCAAGACTTCAGGTGCGGCCTTTTCAACTTCATCGAATAAAACAACCGAGTAAGGTTTACGCAGGATGGCGTTGGTTAAAATACCACCTTCTTCGTAACCGACATAACCGGGAGCGGCACCCAACAACTTACTGGCCGACCATTTGTCGTTTAATTCAGAACAGTCAATTCTGACAACAGCCTTGTCATCGGCAAATAGGAATGAAGCTAGCTTCTTTGCCAGTTCGGTCTTACCTGAGCCAGAAAGACCTAAGAACATGAACGAGGCGGGCGCATTGGGGTTGGCTAGACCCGAACGAGAGAGTCGAATGGCGTTAGACACGGCCTTAATAGCTTCACTTTGACCCACGACTTGCTTGGAAAGCGACTTCTCCATGTGAATTAACTTGGAGTTTTCAGACTGGGTTAACTTGGAAACAGGGATACCAGTAAGACGAGCGGCGGTTTCAGATACTTGGTCGGCGGTGACCAAATCCTGGATCATGGCATCGGGGTTTTCACCCTTTTGCTCTGCCTCGGCTTCAACCTCCTTGATCTTACTACGAAGGTCAGGGATGGCAAAGTAACGCAAATCGGCAGCGGCAGCCGTATCGCGGCGACGTTCAGCGTCTTGGGCCTTGACCTCCAGCTCTTCCAATTTCTTCTTGAGGTTGTTGAGCTCGACATGACCTTGGGTTTCTTCTTCATAACGTTGTAGGAGGGGGGTAAGCTCTTCTTCGATGTTGGCAGCGCGTTGGCGGGCAGCCTGCAAACGTTCTGTGGTGGAAGAATCCGAGCCGGCATCACGTTCGAGAGCCTTGATTTCAATCATGAGCAGTTGGCGTTCACGCTCGAGTCGATCCAAAGCTTCGGGTTTAGAGTCACGGGCCACGGCAACAGCGGCAGCTGTTTCATCGATAAGATCAACGGCTGAATCGGGAAGTTTACGGTAGGTCAGGTAGCGGGAAGCCAGCTGGGCTGCAGTAACCAGAGCACTATCGAGAATACGCACACCGTGGTGAATTTCATATTTGCTCTGTAAACCACGGAGAATGGCTACGGTTTCGCGGACCGTGGGTTCACGGACGTCAATTTTTTGGAAACGACGTTCAAAGGCACCGTCCTTTTCAATGTACTTGCTGTATTCGTTTACAGTAGTGGCACCGATACAGTGGAGGGAGCCTCTGGCCAGCATAGGCTTCAACAGATTGGCAGCATCGGACTTACCGTCACCCATGAGCATATGAATTTCATCGATAAAGAGTACAATCATGTGCTTGGTGGATTTCTCAATTTCATTGAGTACACCCTTGATACGTTCCTCAAAGTCACCTTGGTACTTTGCACCTGCCTTTAGAGCCCCCAAGTCGAGTGAGTATAGTCGGCAATTGGATAAAACGTTGGGGACGTCATGGTCAATGATACGTTGCGCCACGCCTTCGACGATGGAGGTCTTACCTACACCGGGATCACCAATTAAACAAGGGTTTGATTTGGTACGGCGGGCCAGGACACGAATACAACGGCGGATTTCCTCCTCACGGCCGATTACGGGGTCAATCTTACCCTCGCGGGCCATGGCAGTCATGTCAATGGCGTACTTGGTTAAGAATTCAAATTCGGAGGAGGTATCGGCGGAACGAGAGTCGATACGTTGGGCACCGCGGTTGTTCACCACCTGGGTAGCTACCAGCTCGGGGTTCATTCCATCGGCTTCTTTGAAAATATTCTTGATGGAGCTGTCTTCCAGTAGGGCGAGCAGTATATGGTCTTGGGCGATGAAGCTGTCTTTTTGTTGCTTCATGTGCTTTTGGGCACTGGCTAGCACCTTACCCAAGGCCGGTGAGGGTTGAGGTTCAGTTGCCGGGGATTGCATGGGCAGACGGACCAGGTGTTTGTTCATTGTGCGTTCGAGTAACTGGTAGTCCAGGCGAGCTTTCTGCACCATGTTTTTGAGATAGCTGTCTTCGCCGGTAGTATTGGAAGCTGATACCGGCGAGGCCATGGCAGCAAAGAGATGCAATGGCGTCAGTGTGACATTGGAGTTTTGTGTTGCGAGAGCGGTGGCATCTTTAATGATGGCCTCAGCGCGATCTGTAAATTGGAAATCGGACATTAGCAATTGATTTTTTTAGTATAGTGTTTAATGTTTACTGAATTGATTCTTGATGTTTGTGAAAACTAGGAAAGCACACGCGATTAAATAATCTAGCCCAATACCTCCGTGGCGTGAGTAGCAAGTTCTAGAGGGATCGACAGAGTGGTCTAGTCTAACCTATACAAGTATTATTATTTGATTATGTAATACAATACAGGTGAAAAGAGTATCTTATAGCCTGTTGGGACCCGAGAAGGCTCCAGAACGTCCGAGTTTCTCCGGACCATTCTAGACGCTTGAAGAATAAAAGGAGTGTGCGAGTGTACTGCAGAAGATTAAGGGTAGAAACAGAAAAATACAAGTTGCAAGTAATTGCTAAAACGGAAATGTGACACCTACAGTGGCAAGGTAAAGCTAGGGTTAGTCCTGTACTCCAGGTCAAGTTTTTTTCGGGGTTGTTTATTTTGGGTGACGCGGTTGATCTGCCAGTCTTTTTTTCAAGGTAAATTGATATGGTGTTGTCGGATATGGGGACGGGTTACAACAGGTGTGGTTAGAGTTGAGCTTGGTATATGGGCAGAAAGCTATAATAGATGGATAATGGTTGGATAATAGATAATATAGAAACAAGACCACGTCAAACACTGGAGCCAAACACTGGAGCCAAACACTGGAGGACTGTGAACCCAATTAACGTGTTTTCCGAGAATGTGGTACCTCAATTTTCCCCTACTTTTGTCTGCGGCCATATCCACTGGAAAGCACGATTTCCCGTCCGATCAATCATAGTTAAGCCAGTGAGAGCCTCTATAAGTACTACGGTGGGAGACCACGTGGGAACATAAGGTGCTGCAGTCTTTTTTCCTTCTTTTTTCCTTCTTTTTTTCTTCTTTTTTTCTTCTTTTTTCCTTCTTTTTTGTCTAACCCTATAGAGCGAGCTATAGAGCGAGCGAGTCATTCATTACACAACTGCGGTGGGAGACTACAGACGTATTTTTTTCTTTTCCAGGGCCAATGCACGTGAGACTTGACCTAACCGATAAAGTGAGCGTGAACGATAGGAGGTTAGATAAGCGGATTTAGACCCTACAGGAGACTTGACAAAGGGCGTAGGATGCACGCACGAGAAGCGATGAGCTTAATGGCAAGGGCGGCAAGGGCGGCAACGGTATTTTCGGGCGGGGATTCTTTTTGCATTGACACCGTAGAGACAGGACAGAGACCGGACAGAAACAGAACAGAGACAGGATAAAGACAACAACACACATCAGAAACCTCAGAAACCTCAGAAACATCAGAAACATCTCAGAGTCTTGTGAGACGGTCAGTCGAGATTAAAGCGACCAAAGGCCCAACGCTTTGTCCTGACTGAAAACAGCCGCCGAGGGGCAATTTTTGGCGGACCACTTTTTCAACGGGGCAGTTTGTAACGGGACCAGACCGAACCCACCGCGGTCCATCGCTAGGTCCTGCCGTTCTTTCGTTTTCGCCGCAGACCCGCCAGACCGTTTAGGGTCGCAAGGATCACTTGGGAAAGGGTCTGCGTCATGGCCGACGCAGGTCGGGATACCGCGTAATGCAGGTCTGACCATTATGGATGTCTTTCGCGAGTCGGATAGCCACTCGGTGTTGAGAGCGCAGTGCGACATTATAAGTTCTTATGACTCTTTTCCCTCTAAAAGCTAGACATCTAGCGCCTGGGGTCTTGGATTCAGGCCGTTTTTTAATAGTAATAATAGTAGTAATAATAATAGTAGTAATAATAATAGTAGTAATAATAATAGTAGTAATAATAATAATAATAATAATTGCCGTTCAGGTCGTTGCGTGTCCCAAGTTACTAATATATGCCGCGCCATTTCGCACGTCTCGCTAATATATATATATATCGCCTGTCCCCTCCCCCCCAAAAAAGGGCGCCGCGCGGCGGGGCCGCATCACACGCGCAACGGTGTGGCTGAGTCAGCAGAGTACATGAAACTTCTCTGCATGGAACCAAAACGGACTATC